AATTCAATTTTAAAAGAACCTTTTTTTTAAACCCATCTATAACTTCAGTTGGCCCTCTGCATTCATGGATTCCCAACTTTGGATAGAAAATACTGTTATGGTTGAAGGTTGGCTAAATCCATGGTTGCACAACCCGGGAATATGAAGGGCCAACTGTATGTTTATTTTTTAAAATGTGGCAATTAAGTGGCTCTGGCCAGTTGTTCAAGGATTAACTATATTTTTATTTGTAAAGTTTGCAAATCAAAATGTAACAAATAATTACACACCAGTATTGGTAGAAATACCAAATATTATTTCACAACTGCTACTATGAGCTGCTTCTTCTTCTCTGACATGATTGACACAGATCCAGTCTTGCTCTTTGATACCATTCACTTCCTTTGCCAATGAACTTCTTTCATGATGAGCTGTTCTTGAATCTAGCTGTAGGTGGATTTTTGGTAGATGTCAGTGACGAGCAATACATTTTATATGAGGATGATGTTGAAATTTCTTCTTATATTTCTAGTTATAATCTTTGGCTACCTGTTCTTGTGATGTAAGCATACCATATTTTTCAGAAGCATTCGCTCTCCATAGATGAATATTCACTTCATCAGACCCACATATAATGTACTGGCTGTCAGCAGTCCATTTTACACAGATAACATGTTGTATCTCTTTGTTATATTTCCCCACTTCTACTTTTGTCCACAGGAATAGATTTATCAAAACTAGCAGACACAACCTCTTTCCCAGTGGGAGAGTAATTCACATCCAGCACTGCAGACATGTGATCCATGTGCACCATTGCAGGAGTGTCCAGTGCACACACATATGATTTGAAACAACAAAAAAGTATTTTTATTTGCAATCAACATGTTTGTCTTAGAAAAAAAGAATACAGCCCTGGCCAGTTTGGCTCAGTAGTTAGAGCGTTGAGCCCACAGAAGGAAGGGTCACAGGTTTAATTTCAGGTCAAGTGCATGTACCTCAATTGCAGGTTCCCCAGCCCTGGTAGAGGTGCGTATGGGAGGCAACCAATCAATGTTTCTTTCTCCTTCGCTTCCTCTTCCTCCTCCTCCTCCTCCTCCTCCTCCTCCTTCCCTTCCACTTTTTCTAGAAGTCAATGGAAAAAATATCCATTGAGGATTAAAGAAAAAATACAGAAATAGCTATGAGATCTAATATGTGAGTTTAGCAAGTTGCAGGATATAAGGTTAAAATGGAAAAGTCAATTTTATTTCTATATACTAGCAACAAACCATTGTAAATTAAAACTTTTAAATATCACCAAGAGAAAAAGATAATATGTGCAAGACCTATACACTGAAAACTAAAAACATTGCTCAGATAAATTTTTAAAGATCTAGAGAGATCATATTCATGAATTTGAAGATAGAATATTAAGATGTTAATTCTTCTCAAATTGAACTATATATTTAAATCAATCCCAAACAGAATCCTAGCAGTTGTTGTTTTTTAGGTAGAAATTATAAGCTTAATCTAAAATTTATACAGAAATTTAAAAGAGAATAAGCAAAACATATTTAAAACAGAAAAAAGTTGGAAGCAATGCAAATTCAAACCATAACACTCCCCAGAATAGCTAAAATAAAAAAGTGTTGGCAAACATATAGAGCAATTAGAATTTTCATACATTGCTTGTGGAAAAGTAATTTGGTAAAACCAATTTGCAAAAAGTTTGGCATTATCTATTAAAGTTTAACATATGCTTTCTTTATTGCCACAATAATTCTGCATAATAAATCACCCCAAACTTAGTGGCTTATGACAACAGCATTAATTCTCATACTCATTGATCTTTGGATATCTAAAATTCTGCTAATATAAAATGGGATTGCATTCCCATTTGCTCCAAATGTTTGTTCTGAGAGCCCACACTGGAGGGGAATGGCACATGACACACGGTCTTCTCATGTGCATCATCTGAACTCAAGAGCCAAATCAAACGATACATGGACCCTTAAGACTCCTGTTCATATCATGTCTGCTCATATTCTATCCGTCAAAAAATTCACATGGCCAAAAGCAAATCAATGGGGTAGAGAAGTAAGTTTGGCCAACCATGGAAGGGGGAAGAAAAGAAATATTTGTTGAAATAAAAATCCAAGTTATCATGTCCAGTATATCAACATGCCATACACCCAACAGAAATGATGCATGTGTGTACTAAGATATATGAATAAGAATGTTCAAGCAGCATTGTTCATAATTGCCAAAAACTGGAAATAACCCAATGCCTTTCAACAGTACAATGGATAAAGAAAATGTGCTATATCCATACTTACATTTAGAGATTTCCCCCACTGAAAGAGTAGAGTGTTCCTTGTGGAACCTTTCATAAGCCGAAATGGTGAGAAGTGAAGAGAATCCGCCACTTTCCAAAACATCATGATATTTCAGCCTGCTACATTAGTACACTAATGGCTTTTTTTTTTTTTTAGTGAAAACAGGTACTAATGTCTTTTATCAAAGTGAAGTGACACAATGCAAACTATTTGCAAGTGAGAGATAACCTGTATACTAATGAAAACGAAAGAATAAGTACACACAAAATTATGAGTCTCCGAATTTACCCCAAAGAAATCAAGCACGAAATCATTCAATTTACATAAATTTGAAACCACTAACTGATACAGTTTAGGGATATACAATTATGCAGAAAACTGTCAACTGATGCTTGTTGGTGCCCGTTCAACCCCAACAGGAATCCCCAATTTGGGGTGTGATGAAGAAGGAAACTTGATTCAGTGCAAAACAACTAAATTGTTGCACAGCACAGCTGTGAGGCAGCCCTGGGACCAGGCCTCTCTCCAGCTAGATTGCTCTGTTCTGCTCCTCCCTGGTCTGCGTCCCTCTACTCGGACAAAGATGTTCAGTGTTTCAGCTCAGCCAAGGAAACAGTCTTCATTGGAAAGAGAAAGTGCCTTCCCAGAACCAGAGAGAAGCTGACTTACAGACAGAAGATTCTATTCCTAGTCCCTGATTGATCTGTCCTTATGCAAATGAGGACTCCAAATCTTCACAGTTTGATTGGTACACTTTTACTTTTTCTCCCCCCCACCTTCCTGTCATGATTTTGGTCAGAATAGAGCCACTCTAACTGAGGATGAAGAAGCTGATAGACATATAGCTACAAAGCTCCTATTGGATGGAGAAAGCCTCAGTCCTGTTGATTGAAATAGGATTCCAGGAACTCCTATATAAGGGTTGGCTCAGATGGCAGAAACACAGTGCAGGCAGGTGGTTCAGTGCAAGCTTCTCCCTGAAGTGCAGTTTGCATGAGAGACCCCATGTGGAAAAGGCTGTTAAGCTTTTTAAATATTTTTGCTTTTTTAAAATGTGAGCCTGGTTAAGCTACCAGGAGTCCTTCTCAGGGACCAGTAGGTACCTTCTTTCTCAGGGACCACAAAACTGATTAAGAAAGGTAAGGAATAGCCCAGCCTGTGTGCCTCAGTGATTGAGTGTGGACTTAGGAACCAGGAGGTCACCATTTGATTCCCATAGGGCACATGCCTAGGTTTTGGGCTCTATCCCCAGTAGGGGGCGTGCAGGAGGCAGCCAATCAGTGATTCTCATCATTTCTCTCTCTCTCTCTCTCTCTCTCTCTCTCTCTCTCTGTAATCAATACAAATATATTAAAAAAATAAAAAAGTTAAGGAAGGCATTACCATGGAAGTTAGAGTAGTGGTTTCATTTGGTGACAGGGAAAGGAGGTGGGTATTAATTAGGAGGTGGCACAAGAGAGAGCATCTGGGGTTTTGGCAATGTCCTATTTCTTGACCAGGTTGGTGGTTTCATAAGTGATAAGGCATAGAATTGTATATTTTGGTTTTGTGTATTTCAAAATATCTATCTTATTCTCTGCTTCTACAGCCAACCTTCTTCAGTTCCTGAACACAATTTCACTTCTAGGGACTTTGCGCTTTTGTCCTTTTGCTTGAAAAGCTCTTCCTCCACATCTTCCAAGGACTAGTTTGGTCTGTTTTTATCATTGAAGTTTGCCGCGGAATGTCCTTTTCAGTGAGGTCTTGTATCTGTGCTTCCAGCCTCCAACCCCATCCTTCAACATCGCCAGCTTGGTTTCACAGCAGCCTTGTGCAATGAAATTCTGTTTTTGTTGTGTGTGCCTAATCAAGCACCTGGCCACAGTAAACAGGAAGAGATGCCATTTAATGAATACTTCTACCCCCAACATGTGGCACAGGACCTGTTTCATGGTGTCACGTGTAGAATGAGTTCTATTTGTAGTCCCTTTGGATCTCTGCAGATTATAAACTTCAAGAGGTGTTTTCCTAAGCAACAACCACGTAAACAAATATTACATAGATTTAACATTTATTAAATTACAAAGACTAGATTTCGTAAATGTCACTTTCGACCAAGATAAAACAAGCCTCACAGGGTCAGCTTCAGGGAGCAACGAAGAAGAGGCAAAGACACCACACCTTAGGGATAGTGGCTCCCTCAGCCCGTCACAGGGGCGCCTCCGCGATGGACGACGCTCAAGCCCCGCGAGAAGACCCGCCCGCACGCTGTGCGCGTCACGGTCCAATCCCGGAGCGCTCTGCATCACTGCGCCTGCGCAGAGGCGAAAAGCAAGCGCCGCGTGGACGTCAGTCGCAGCCTGCGCCTGCGCGTCTTCTTCTCTCAGTGATTGGCTTCTACCTTCAGTAAGTACACCGCAGTTCAATTTTCACTTTCTCTTCCCCCGCCCCCCTTCCTGAGGCCGTGAGGTTTTACTTCCGGTGCCCCGCGCCGTCTCCGAGACTCGACTTGTTCCCTCAGGTCGCGAGGTGTCTGGAGGGTCGGTTCCTTTCTGGGATCCTCTGAGGCAGGGGCGAC